CTTGCCCGGTTCTGGTACTGGGGTGGTGCCGAACTCTGAGTCTCCTCCCCTCTTTTCACACCCAGCATCTGATTCAGGGCGACCAGCCGCGACCACCTTGAACCGCTTCTCGGCGCTCCAGCAGTCGACACCTGCCGAGAACCTGGAGTCTCGGCGTGTGGTGCAGAGGTGAGGGTCCAGCCCTGCCTTGATGCGTGTCCGTCTGCAGCCCAGGGAGGAACTCCCCGAATTGGGCAGCAGTTGGTCAATATGTAGGCAAATGTGTGGGGTCTGGACTGGAATAATCCCTTTTGGTAGGATGGGGCCTTGGCAGAGCTTGGTGTCGGTGGTGAGTCCTTGTGACAAAGAAGGCTGACCCCGCCCTCGGATATCTCCCCACTGTTTGGCACTTGGGGGAGCACACCTTGAGTTCTGGGTCTGATCTGGGATTCTGAGGAGATGGCAGATGTTGATGGTCTTGAGGGAGCCCTGTGGAGGCTGGATCACAAGGTCCCCAAGAAGAGGTGGAGCTGGGTTTGTTCAAAAAAAGAGGAAAGCAAAGAAGGATCTCACTACACTCTGCAGCAGGGGGGAAGGCATGGGCAGGATGGGAGCAGGCTCTGCTTGGCCATGCCAAGGGACAGAGCAAAAGGCAAATGGGCAGGAGTTGAAACGAGAAACAGGGAAAAATGTGTTCCCCTGAGGGTGTTCAGGTGGTAGAAGAGGCCCTGGTAAGGTCTGGCATCGGAGCGGGACAGCCTTGCCTTGCAGAGCTCTGCAGGATGGGTGGTGATAGACTCTTTATGCTGTGTCTGTCCTCCTCCCACCCAGGAGCAGCTCCAGCCGCGACAGGTCAGAGAAGGCTGGGGACAGAGGGGACCGAGAGTCGCGTTCAGAGAAGAGCAGTGACCGCCTGGAGCGTCCTGACCGGGGGGAGCGGGCAGACAGGAACAGGTCTGCTGTCACCAAGAGGAGCTTCAGCAAAGAGACAGAGGACAGGAGTCGAGAACGAGAGAAGCAGGGCGGCCCTGAGGCTGTGCGCAAGGCTGCTAGCATGACGGAGGAACGGGACAGGAGCCGAGAGACCAGTGAGCTGGGGAGAAGCAACGTCCTGGTCATCTGGCCATGGCCTGGGGCTCTGCCTGTCCCAGGCAGTGCCTCACCTTTGCTTTCTCCTCACAGTTAAACAAGAGCCATCCCCTCCTGCAGCATCCCCCAAACCTGCGCTGTCGGATGAGGAACTGGAGAAGAAATCCAAGGCGATCATAGAGGAGTACCTACACATCAACGACATGAAGGTGCGAGGAGGGGGTAGCCAGGCACAGCACCATAGGGCCCCTGTAACACACCTGGGTGGTAGTGCTGTTGTGCAGGGTACCGGCGGGGCTTGGGTGAGAAAGCGGGGAGCTGGGGCTGGCGATGGGGCAGTACTGACCCCCGTTTTCCCCCACAGGAGGCCTTGCAGTGTGTGCAGGAGCTGGGCAGCCCCTCCTCGCTCTACATCTTTGTGCAGAATGGCATTGAGTCCACGCTGGAGAGGAGCACCATCTCCCGCGAGCACATGGGGGTCCTACTGTGCCAGCTGGTGAAGGCAGGCATGCTCTCCAAGGAGCAGTACTACAAAGGGTGAGGGGCTGGGGCACCCTGGCCCTTGGCTGGTATTTATCTGGCTTTGAATTCAGCCCTGCCTTGGTCAGAGCCTATGACTGACACCTCCTGAGGTCCCTCCTAGCCGAGGGCATGGGGGCTGCTGGATCCCAACGGCACCCCTCTGCCCTGCAGGCTGCGGGAGATCCTGGAGATTGCAGAAGACATGGAGATCGACATCCCACACATCTGGCTGTACCTGGCTGAGCTTATCACCCCCATCCTGCAAGAGGAAGGCATCCCCATGGAGGAGCTGTTCAGGTGAGGGCTGTTCCCATCCATGGGGCTGCCACAGGGTCCCAGAGGGACACCTGGGGTTAGGTAGCTCACGTGGGTCTCTTGTGCCCTACAGGGAGATAACGAAGCCCCTGGTGCCCATTGGGAAGGCCACCACGCTGCTGGTCGAGGTGCTGGGCTTGTTGTGCAAGGGCATGGTAAGTGCGTGGGGTTCACGTAGCTGCTGGCTGCTGCCTCGAGGCAGTTTTCTGTGAGGGTGGTGAGACACTGGAACAGGTTGCCCAGAGAAGTTGTGAATTCCCCCTCTGCGGAAGTGTTGAAGGCCAGGTTGAACTGGGCTTTGAGCAACTTGGATTAGTGGGACGTGTCCCTGCCCGTGGCAGGGGGCTGAACTAAATGAGCTGTATGATTCCTAACAACCCAAAGCATTCTATGAGTCTATGATTCTTTGCCGTGTCTGGGCCACGGGGGTGACATGGCCAAGATACGCAGCGTTCCCCTCTATGGAGAGCAGAGGGCATGGGATGCTGATACCAACTGTCCTGCAGAGCCAGAAGACTGCAGGCAAGCTGTGGCGGGACGGGGGCCTGAGCTGGAAGGAATTCCTCCCTGAGGACCAGGATGTCAACAAATTTGTCACAGAGCAGGTGGGAGTGAGCTCAGAGGTGGGCTGGAGGGGGCACCCTGGGGGATCCTGCTGCCAAGAGTGTGGTGTTCCCCTGTGCTGACTTTAACAAGCTCATCTCTGCCTGCTCCCCCAGAAATTGGAATACACGATGGGGGACAGCTCGGACACGCCGAGCCGGAAGGAGCTGACCTCAGAGGAGCTGTGCAAGCAAATGGACAAACTGCTGAAGGAGAACCCGAACAACCAAAGAATACATGACTGGATCGAGGTGAGAGCGTGGGCATGGCAGTGCCTGTGGGTCCAGGGGCTCCCACCCTGCTCTGTCCCCACCTCACGGCCCCTCTACCCTTTCTCCTCCAGGCCAACCTGAGCGAGCAGCAGGTCTCATCCAACACGTTTATCAGGGCCCTGATGACGTCTGTGTGCCACTCGGCCATCATCTGTGAGTATCGGGGTGAGGTGGGGGCAGGGGGAATCCCCTTGCCCACACTGCCTCTCTCTCACACCGTATCTCCCGCAGTCGAGAACCCCTACCGTGTGGATGCCATGGTCATCCGCAACCAGGCCAAGCTGCTGCAGAAGTACCTGCGGGACGAACAGAAGGAGCTCCAGGCACTCTATGCCTTGCAAGCATTGGTGGTGAAGTTGGACCAGCCGCCCAGTGAGTGTTGTGGGACGGGGTGGGCCATGGAGGGGGGTGGCAAGTGTGTCTCCATCCCAACAGGGTTGGTTGGTGGCTGGGAAATGGCAGAGGCTCCGCTTTGTCCCCCCTGCAGACCTGCTGCGGATGTTCTTTGACGCCCTCTACGACGAGGATGTCATCAAAGAGGAGGCTTTCTACAAGTGGGAGTCCAGCAAGGACCCAGCTGAG